ATTTCAAGTTAAAGAATATGAAGTGAACCTCATACAATGACAAAATCATTTTCGTCTGTTTTCATCCTCTCATTATATTTAACTAATAGAAATCATGATTAGATCATACCAGTTTTTATATTACAACCTGGTTGTATAATAAATATTTTGAAGTTACTTATTACTATCGTTGGAAAGAACAAAATTTACTACTGAATTAATTAACAAAACAATAATATCAAAGTATTATATAAATGTTTTATTAATTTAAAATGTTAGGCAATAAATTTCCGAATAAATTTAACGATTCCAGAATCCGTCTGAATGGATTTTTACTTGACAATTAATCAAATCCAGGCAACATCGAATAGCTATTTTAACTGCTGAGTCAACCATGTTCACATATAAACTCATCAGTTATAGAATCTAAGATATTTAAATAAAGGTTCTAATATCACACTTTACCAATAATAAGTTTGAGGATTTTGAGTTGGAATAATTAACAAGATGTTAATAAATATAACGTGAAGATTTAAAAATTACATCTGTATGTCCATAAGTGCAGAAAATTTCTTCATAAACTAATGCTGACGCTTTTTCACTGGATATAAACGGACTACAAACTAACGTAAATAATTAGCTTTTCAATGTTTAGACTATTATAGTCGTCAACACCATCATCATCACTACCGCCATCATCATCACTACCGCCATCATCATCATCATCATCGTCGTCGTCGTTGTCATCAACTGCAATATTAACAGTAGTGACAATAAAATGTATCTTAGATTCTAACTAAGTGATTTCTATAATAATCTGATTAGTTGTTCAGATGATGAAACTATTTGTTTTTTTTTCTTGTTAAAGAAAGTTTTCTTTTTCCCTACCTCATTTCATTTAATCTTTTCTATAATATACAGGTGATTTTGACTAGTTGACATTTGTCATAATGTGTGCTTTTTGTTTACTAACTGTTTCTTACAAAAACAGATTTGTTTTTTATTTCAAGACTGATTGGAGTAAATTATGTTTAATGACGTTTTATCTCTAAATAACTACATAAACATATAAAAAGTAACTTACTTTGTTTTAAAAAAATAAAAGTACGAAAACAGTGTTTCTAAATATTGTTTTTAACATATTCTTGGTGTTCACTATTGTTACTTTCAAATTTTGTATAAAAATAGTAAGGAAAGTAACTTGAATATTTACTCTTATTGAATAACTTAATAGATCAAAAGAAACATATCTTCATATACATCAGTACAGGGAAGATTAAACAAAGTGATCTTATGTAGTGACAAATATACTAATCTATTACTCATAAAATCTTAGTTTGTATCTTTGCATACTGGTAAAATTTTCAAACTGATGGTAACTAATAACTATTCGGTTTTTATGACATGGATAATCTTCAAGAGTAAACCTATTTCAATAAAAATATTCAGAAAGTAAAAACCTTTGTCTTTTTTTTTCAAAAACAATTAGTAAATGTTGATTTATTTTTCGATCCAAGGTAAATAGTTGGTGTTGAGAAATCAGATGAGAAATTACCATTATGAATTGTATGGATTATATCACAGTTTTAGTTTAGATATGGTTAAGCACAAAAACTCAAGATACTAATTGAAACAGGAAACAATTAATACCATTCAATAGAATAATGAACATAGTTTAGTTATCTGAAGTGACAATCACTACGGAGTTAAAGTTTATGGGAAAAAGCCTATAATAGTTCGTCGATACATCTTGATTACTAGTAATGAATGAAACGGAGCTTGTTATCTGGATTCAGTTTCTAGTTATCATTTTACATTCCGTGATTAAATTTCCTCAAATTTCGATTAATCTAATTTATTGATCACGTTTGGTTAGTCTACTTTCAAATATAATCCTTTTTATGAATGCTGACTTAATAGAGTTTTAACCTGAAACCAAATGATTAAAAACTTTGTCTACTTTTAAAGAAACAGACAATTTTTTAAGTCACTTAAACACCGCAATGGTACTTTTTTATCATGATTTTCAAGCACAGATTAAAATCAGTACAGGCAACAAAAAACAAAGCTAGACATTGTTTAGTAATAATATTGTTTTATTCAGACTGTAAAATAATATATGTAATTACGTAATTCAATGTTATCTTGATTGGTTTTTTATTTTAGATATTTTGTTATGCGAATAACCATAATTAATTCTCATTCTGATCAAAAGAAGAAAGAAACACGATAACAAATAAACATGCCTATACCAAGTATTCATGTAAATTCAATTGAAGACAATGGAAATGATGACAGACGAAAAAATAAACCATCCATACCGATACTACAAGTAGTCGGTGACAATATGGATGGACGTGAAAATGATGTTAACAGTGATGATGATGACGACGATGTAATGACAGCTGAAGAAGAAGCCGCTATCGCGCGTAGATTTCTTAGTGGAAACGATCAAACAGAACAACGCAGGTAAAATAAATAACGAACATTTGTATTATCTAGTTAATATTTCGAAGATATCTATAAATTGTTTGTATTTACTTTAGATTATTGTATGATATATATTATTCAACACTCGATTTTAAAGATTATATATTCTACAAAAATCAGTTTCGCTACTGCCATGATTATGAAAATTTACAGTGTTTTGTCTAATTTTCATAAATGACCGATTAAATTTAAGGGATTGAGGACCATTAAGGGCTGTTAGACATTTATTTCATTCTAGAATCGGGCACCTCAATAGTGTATATCCATAAACGTGTACGAGATCAAACGATGGTTCTTCATGTTTTACAGAAACCACCGCGTCTAAATACTTATCTGAAACATCTAGTTTTACAGAGTCAATGAGGCTCATGTTTACTAGTACTGTAGTTATAAGTGATTACATTTTGGAAAAAAGTCATTAGGATAGAACTGATTCACTGAGTAAATGCTGAAGAATCCACGAATCATTGGAACTTTGTAGTGCTTAACATCCTTTTACAACATTTACTGTCATTACGGTAGAGAGAAATTTACCACATTTTTTCCGTATACAAAAACATCTGAGGGCTACAGCTCATGTAAAACAAAGTGGATTTGATGCTTTTTGTTTGACCATTACTGTTAAAAGGCTTAAATGTATCATTTATTGTTAACTATCCAACAAGTGTATAGAAAGTACTTTTGTAAAATCTTCACGTAGGTTTTTGCAACAATGTACAGGGAAATGTTTCACGTCAAATATCTGCAAAGTTTGAACGAAATAGAAAGATGATATCAAGCATTAGATCGATCACTGTCGGTTGATGTGAAAACAAACTATTTAGCCAATGTAAAAGCGTAGTTTTAAGTGATTTATTTATATAAATTAAATGTTCAAAATGGATCTATTTAACTAGTTGATTTGAAGACACCTGAAGAATGAAATTGCAGAATCTCAGAAAATATTTAAAAATTGACACCGTTAGAATGAATTTATTTAAATCATTTTAATATTTACACATTTCTCATGATCATTTTTTGTTCCTGATATTATAACTTTGCTTTATTGACTTTAGTTTTTGATCGGTCTATATTGATTTTTGATTTTTTTAAAAGAATGTCTTCATTGGACATGTATCTCTCGCAGCCAGAAGTAGTAAGTTAACTTCATTGGTTATTTTTATTTATTAAATTAGTCCGTAATAAGAAGTTATAACTTGAAAATAGCTGACTAGTCTCTCACTAGCTTTTAAAGTTACTTGTGTGAACGAAAAGAGAAGTTTTAAACCACATGAATAAAAATAAAGATTCGAAGGAATTTTTGAAGTTTGTTTCAACAAAAGTAACTTTTGGAAATTATTAATCATTAATAAGTAAAATGTTGACTATATTCCAAGAAAAGCGAATAGATAATAGAAAGCTTGGAATAATTTACAATAAACACACACCAAATGATGTATGTAGTCAATATAGGAAAAGGATGAACTCCCAAATCAAACCACTTCCATATATATTTACCAATTAAACTGTCATTATAGGAGCAACTCTTTGTACAAACGACCTAGACAATTTATAGTTGTCTTGTCAAATACTTTCTACCATGACTGTAAATAATTAAGTCCATTTAAAATACTTTGCTTTTTCATTTAATGGACTAAGAAGGTTGTCAGTAAATAGTTAAGTTTGAGTATATCCCTTTGTTAAAGTCAGTAAAAGCAATACTGGCCAGTATTTTCCATCCAAGTTAGTGGATACAGAAATCATTTATTAGGTCTACTAGTTCTTCATGGCTTTCATTTACCATTAGATTACAACAATAATTATTACATCGGATAAATCATTTTTGCATATATCTAATTTTTATTTCTATTCTCATTAATGTTATTGTCTTAACATTAGATTAACGGTTTTGCTAATTATCTATTTAGTTTACTAATGACATAACTATTTTGTTATCAATTCAGTTAGACTATTTTTTAAATCCATGTTCCGTAAATTCATACAATTCTTAACAAACTCTCAATAATAGTGCAAACATTTTTTTTATTTCCTATTACTGTCATCAACACTATGATCCACTACCCCATATGCATATATATATTTTCATTTGATGAACAATAATGGTCAAATGTTCTGAATAATCAGTTTTCTGATAACTACTATAATCTGATAATAAATTATTTAAAATGGAAATTGGTTTAAAATGCATTTTTTTACTATATAAAATATCAGAAGGGGTTTTTTGGAAATTGTAGTAATTTCAGTCTCGCTCAAGAGACTGATAGATCCTGGATTCGAATCTCGCGAGGCGGAATCGTGGATGCCCACAGCTGGGGAGTCTGACAATAAGACGAGACGGCCGCTCAGTGCTTCCAGGTTTTCCATAGTGGTCTAGCCTCAATTGACTCATGATCTCAAATATCTAAAATATATTTAAATTACATAATAATAATAATTACAGGAAATCACTTGAAGCTTAAGAAAAATCCACTATACTACTAGCTAATCTCTGTCGAATTTTGAGTCGACATGAATTATGATAAGATCTGACTGAGTAGTTATGAATTTTTTTTAAAAAATAATTTTTGTAGATCATTTAGGTAAGGAAAATCAAATAGCGTGTCTCGGTGATTGAGGAGCATTTTTAAACATTTGTTATATTTTAGGCTTCATGCGTTACTGGATTAATAACTTAGTCACCTATAAGTAACGTTGAACTTGGAACTTATGTGAATCAGTGCAAGTGCAACGTCATGTCAGCACAGGAAGATAAAATTATTAAAATTAATATCTAAGTAGTAGAAATAGTAGTAAGTTAGGGATACAGAATATGATTTGAGAAAAATGAATTTGTATAATAAAAGGCAATAAATAATTTTGAGACTCTGGATCTATAATGAGACAAAGAACGAGTATATCTACATCACTGTGATTTATTCTGTGACGTAATGCGATGTCTCGAACCAATTGGTATGATAATCGTGAGGATCCCAACCGGTTGGTCTAGATCTACCAACATGACTCAAACCAAGTGTCTGTAACTTCATGAACTGATGCTACGTTTTATTTGACCGTTTCTAGCTCTCTTTCAACATACCCCCATGCGATCCATCATCGTTCGGCACGCTAGATAGTTGTTGGGCATACTTAAGACATGTCCTACCCCACTCAATAGGCAGGGACTCACAATCTTATCAACCGATATAACTTTCCATTGTGCCCTGGATTTAAATTCAACATTTTTTACTCGTTGTGCTCTTTATGCGCAGAGATTATGGTAAGATGCATACAGTCAAATAATAATAACCTACACATGTCTTCTGTTTTCGTAGACCACATTCTACATCCAATTCAATAAAACCATCGGTTCAAAACTGCGTGACTAATGGTTACAATTCTGTCGAAATCATATTTTATTTTCATATTGATCATCGTAATTTATATAAACGGAACTCAGTGTACCAAGAAAATAAGTACTGTCAAACACATCATTAAACTTATATTTAACTAAATGAATCATGATGTAGAATTACTTAGGACATGGATCAAAAGGAAGTTTGCTTAAAAGAAGTCAGTCATCACTGAAGACTATATTCACTAGCCAACTAATCAACCAGTGATTAGCATGATTGTATAGTACGTCCAGGAATTTTCATATACATATTGTAACATTTCGATTATTCAATCATCATGATGTACTTTATGGATTTCAGTTGACAACGAAGTCTCTGTAGGATACCGGCCAATTTATTTGTGTTACCATTTTTTTCCTCAATTGGTCTACAATGAACCTTCCATTATTTAGGTTCCTGTTTTATAATGATCCCGATGGTATTTAGTGACTAACAGATGACTGAGAATTGATTTTCGTGTATATCTTAGTCATGGCTTTTGTTAAGCCTTTTTTGTGATGAAATCTGTCTAAATTTATAATACTTAATTTCACCTTACTTTTCTTGATTAATTTAGAAACAAGAACCCATGATAATTAATCGTCATATAAGTTTGAAAGAAGAAGAAAAAGGCGTAAGTTATTTCGAGAGATTTTGTTGAATAGAGTTATTGGATCATTTATTCGACTTTTTTATCATTATCCAATGCTACTTGTTAGACTAAAGATTAGTAGTTTGTTCATTTTATATGAAAATTGGAATTGAAATTTTCTATATTAAATAATATAAAGTTATACTTCCAGTCTAATAAAAAACTGTATCTTTGGCTCGTGTCAACAGTAATAAACAATTATGACTTTATGGTCATACTCAAACTTTCAATTTAATGAAGAAAAAAATCTTAAATATGGTGAAACAATCCTACTGCATTTAGTAACTTCTAATATTTTTGTGAAAAAATAGTTCTTTGTGTTACTAAATAGAAAGGCATTGAGAACACTAGATTACGACATTTAGTTTCCTAAGAGAAATGCCAGTTATTTGAGACAAAGTATTCAATAGGCGTGTAGCATAATCATGACGAATCTTATCCAGTTTATAACTAATTAAAGAGCAGTTTTGTAAATGAATAGTTTGTGGAAAGTAAATAATAATGTTACAACTAGGTAAATAGACTTTGTTAAAGTAATCAATTTGAAAAGATGGTTAGTGGCTAGTAGTAGAATCCGGGTGGATCAATTGCATTCCTAAGCAACAATGGGAATATACAAGCAAACAATACAAAGTGAATTGATTGAGTTTTTCTATCCTTCTACAGGTTGTGAATTGAGAAAATGACATATAAATTCGTCTACATAATTATGAATGAACTGTCTTATCGAATAGATTCTCAGGAGGAAACATACTGTTCCTGGCTATGCTTGGAGATTAAGAGTTATAATTAGAGGTTGTGCACCTAGGATTAAGATTAAAGGCTTGAGATTAGAGATATAAGATAAAGGTTAGGACTTAGGGATAAAGGTAATTCAAGTGTTGTATACAATCTACATGGAAAAAAATCGTTTGATATGTTTTGCATCATCGTTTCTACTCTATGATAGCAAATAATAATTTATCGTTATTGTTTTAGATGTTTTCATATCTAATTACCGAGTGTCTGTAACATACCTTTACTGTTTATTCTGCATGAGTCCTAATAGATGACAATTCACAACATCCTGGTTGTCCAAAAACTGTATCATAAAAATTAGAAGATTTAACACCTTCATTAGACGTTTCCCCTGGTTAAATATTGGAACATTTCAACTAATTGCTCTATTTTCTTAAGCACTGATTACTAAATTCGTATTAAGTTAAACAAGAAAACAACTTCAGACGCTTGTGTGGAAGAAGCGCTATATATATGAGAACTTATACTAATGTAGACTACTCTGTGAATTATGTTGAGACTTCCAACATCAAGTACTTTCTTAATTGAATAGTATACTAACATAATATTTCATGATATTCAGATTCTTTTCCACAAATTTTGAAAAAATACTTAGCCTTATCTATTTATTGAAAAACACATTCATTTTTTTATATTCTAGTTTGAGGCAGAGCAAATGCGACTTCGTCAAAAAGAACGTGAGGTAAGTTAATGTATACGATAGTGTTTCTAATAATAATAATAATAATAATAATAATAATAATAATAATAATAATAATAATAATAATAATAAAATCCTGTTGATGTGCAAACCGTGCATTTAAGGTCATTTCCTGAGCTATGACGAACTGATTATAATCATCTACAACTAGGGAAAGTAAAACTGAAACAGAGAGCACAGAACAACAAAAGTGATAATTAATACGCTAGATCAGCCAAGTCTATCATAATACATAGGCCATGTTATCTTGTGATAAAGTGTTGTGTTAAAAATTATCCAGATTAGTTAGTTACCAGGGACGGTGTTAGTGTAGGGAGGTTTACTTAATAGGCTCAGTAATAAAACCGTTAAACATCCAAAGTTTTTATAATCTTACTCGTGGGATGGGATATACTTACAAGTTCAAGCACATTTCAGTCTTTTTTATAGAGGTAAGCATCAATTCAGAGAACAAAGGATGATGTATTATTAGTCAACTAAGCAATTTACAAACTTACAGTTAATCATTAACTGCTAACAGATGGAAGATTGTCGAGACTATAATTTATGGACGAACCAACCAGCTTCAGGATAACAGGCCTAAATAGCGTTTTAGTATTTTAGCTGATATCATTTCATGATGAAAACCCTAAATCTAATTCCTTACCCTAACCATCAATTTTAAATCATAATCTTTACTCTTCACACAGGTTTATAACCCTCATTTAGCCCCAGCAAGTAGATGGGGATTTCGAAGGTCGATTTGGCGTCGCTCAAAGGACATCCATTAATTACAGTCCCACCAAATGATTACTAAGATCGGTTCATTCTTCACCGTTTTCAAGGTCTCAAGATTAGTATTATTCCACACACTTTATTATTTTAATCTCATTCTTTTCTTATGAACTGCATCTCCTGATGTTGCTCCACTTCCTTGTAGATCAGACCTTAGGGTCGAAAGATTTGGGTGTCCCCCCCCTAAGAAAACCACCTGCTTCTGTCTGGGCACAGGGGCAGTGTCACAGTAGACACACCAATCACGTGACTTGTGTGGTCATATGTATCTGGTTCCTTCTTGTACCAATATTTATGTGTTCAAATAATAAATAAATAAAATACATTCCCTAAGTTTCATTTTGTAACTACCACTGATATCAATTATTTGACGCTCTGCATCTTGTCAGTTTTCTCTTACTGTTTTGATCAGAATCACGACAACTCCAAACAACCTCAATTATTATTAATGCCTAGTTAGACTTCGTTTATAATTGACTCATGGGTCGTAAAACAATATTTTTCAGTGATTTTTATAGTAAGAACATGAAAAAGTCAATCGAACACGAAATAGTTACATTAACAATAAGGATTCGACTAAACTAACTAATGACGAAGCTGGCAATTCAGGTACAGTTTTGTTACAGTTTATCAGAAATGTCAGAGAATATTGACTAATAAGGCATCACGTGGCGTTATGTTATGCCGTTTTCTGGAAGATTAATCAATAACTAGCTGGTTCCTGAGTAAGGTTATTCTAAACCATAATATTTCAAAATATATTCTCTTGTCAGAAGATAACTATTGTTAATTATGACTAATAATTGCTTTATTTCTTATCAATCTAGTTTTTTTCACACTCATCATTAGTTGTAATATTAGATAGGTTAATTAGATGATTAATTCTCATCGTAAAACATGGTTCTTTTCATTCCTTATCCGAAAATATCTTATTACATATAAACCAAAATCAAGAAATCAATCTGTAAATTTATACATAAATGCGTCTAGAGATAATGTAAATGGCAAAACAGTTGTTTAAACATTTGTAGCTATTGTTCGTTTATTATCGATTAGGTGCGTATGAAAAGTATACTGAGTGTTTCATCCGAATTATATTTTTTTCTTTTATCACAGTGTCATCTGAATTTGAATAAGTCATCGTTATGCAGACAGTAACGGAAATACTAGCATTTAGTTGATATATATAAGACAATTGACTAAATCGTTGTGATCGATCATGGCAGTCGAAAGAAACATACGATTAATAGCGTACAATGTAATAATGTTTTCTGTCAATCGGTGTTTATGTATGCTGATAATATTTAACAAAGGCTACTTACAGTGTTTTGTGTTTTCCGAACACTACTTTCATTTGTTCTTCTTTCCTTTTCTTCATGTCACTGTGTAACATATATGTTCTACCATTGTTTTGTTTTCTCTGTAAAATAAATTTGAAAAGTTTAAGAGGGAATAACTTTAGAAAATGTCATGCATCTTGATCTGAGTGTGAAAAAATTAAAGATTTTTTGCTGAAATTTATACAGTTTTTTGTTCAGCATTCAGACTTTTTTACACACAAAATTATTTGAAGAGGAACGAGTGAAAAATAAAAAGCGAGATAGGTGCAAGACGATGATGAATATAAATAAATTATGTTGTCATTATAGACATATAACAAATGCTGCTGTAAAAACTGATTTGCAGGTACGTTAGATGTTAGGTAGTGATTTTGGTAGAGTTTTGTCCTCTGAGCTGGATGGTTTAGTCGTGGAGCTTTCATCGTTATTATGAAAAACAGCATCAGCACAAACCTCAGGTGATGATGTCGTTCAGCATAACGATGAAAGCTACAAAGCCAAACCATCCAGCTCAGAGAACAAAAATCCATCAGAATCATCCACCTGAGCTACAAATCTTCTCCACCATCTCAAATATTAGTTAGTTGTAGGCGATTAGCAAGACGCTATGCGTCATTTGGCCAAGATCTATTAAAATCTCGAGACACTTAGTATATTGACCATTGTAGTTGAAAGTATTTAATCGGCACTAATGAATCAATGTAAAGCCGACTACTAATCAATAAGCAGTTAGAATTGAACCTGATATAATACTTTATGCAGCAATATCTGTGTTTGACTGAATTAATTGGAAGAAGACAGGTTATTAATAATAACTGTGAATAGTTAGGTTTCGGTAAGAATATATATCAATACGAGTTCTTACCCATTCGCTTCGTTTAATAGTTTATGGAGATAAGTTAAGTTTGGTGATATCTTATATCACATAACTGCGCCAACTAGAAAACTGGTAAAAAAGGCACTGTACAGTTAATTTATCATAGTTTAAGGCTTCTTAAACGTCTACTGTCATGACCCTGCTAAAGATATCAGTCCATAACGTAAAACTAACTTGAATTGAACTCACCTCCACAAATTAATCAAGTCAGTCATGTGCTCAGTAGTGACATGCTTTGAAAATATCTCATGAACGTTCAATGAGAAATTACACGTGACATATAATCAAGTTGGGAATGAGACAGTTATCTGCTGAATATGACAAATAGGTATCGTTTGATTGGACATTGAACTAAACACTAATGGATTCCACCTCAGTAACGTAAAAGTAATATATCTGAACTGAAATCTAAAACTCCTTGGTTGATGCTAATTAATATGCAATCAAGTATTAATACATAACAGTTATTCAGTGTTTCTTTCTTAGTTATTCTTCAGTCGATAATGTTCCTCGTCATAATCTACTGTTTTTGGTACATTATTCTTTATTAAAAAGATTTAGTTCTAAACGTAAAGCTTCAGATATTTTTCTTGTTTTTACATCATTCATTACTTACAGATTTTTCTATGTAACACCATGTCCGATCATCTTATTGAAAAAAAAAATCAAGAAGAAAACCAACTATTTATTCCTTTTATTAGTTTACTAATCTATAAGCTGACATTTAAAACGGTTATTTGTTTATGCAAATACAGTTGAAAATATTCTTTCTATACTGCTTTCTCTTTTTTTTCTTATTTGGCACCATTTACTATTTAGTATGTAAATAACATATCATTTGTTTTGAATTTAAAAAATATTGTTTTTATATATTCTAAAGAGGAAAGTTTACTTGTCTTTGAAAAATAAAATAAAACACTATCAATTTGTGTAAAATGTCTATTAACTTCTTCATAAATTTAAGGTATAGTGGTTTCGTTACTTTCTAATAGTTAATAACATGTGTTGTTTTAGTATTTGTTATGTTATCATATGAATGTTGGTGTATTTTATTATAATTAATACTTGGAAGAAACGATCGTCCAGTGCTTTCAAGTTTTCTATGGTGGTCTAGCTTCAATTGACTTATGATTTCAACTATTGAAATTAATAATGTTGTAACTATGGTAGTGATGCGTGTGAATGACTGTACTCTTGGATTGGAGTGATGAACGAAAAAATCCTTATCCGAGTCTCGATAGATTTCCGTTTTTCTTAATGTTGTTTTGTTATATAATTAAAACGTTCTGCTCATTGTGAGGTGCAAATCTTAATCATTTTAAGATTATACATGTAATGAACAGTAACATTGAATAGATATTTGTTTTAATATTTTGTTATTTATATTAATTTCTTAAAATATTGTTGAAATTTCTCTAGGAAATGGAAAAACATCAAGAACAGCTAAGATTAGAACGTGAAGAGGTAAGAGCATGCATTTTATTGATTTTCACATTTGACGAATTATAATGAAGATATGTTGTATTGTTTCTCATCAATTTGCTTATGCTTTCTAATTGAATAAGAAATTATGATTATTAAACCAAGGTTATATTTCTCATAATCAGTGAAAGATGAACCAGTGTACCATTTGCTTACACAAGTATATAATTCTTTCGTCATTACTTAGTGAAACAGTGCAGAGCGGGATCAAGATCATGACATATTGCACATCGATTTTAGTTGGAAACACTGATAACTACTGGATTCTAAATTAGCAGTAAAGTTACTCTACTATATCTGACTCGCAATCTAAAAACTTTGGAGATTACCATGCATTGGCTCGTCGATGTTTATTGTCAAAAACTCTGGAACGAAGATCAAACGACAGTCCGCCACTTTTTATTATTTAATAGTTCGTAGAATGAAAATTATTTCTAATTCATTTTATGTTTTGAAAAAGCCATATTTTATCCTTTGAAAATGTATCTTGGAAACCATTCTAAGTACTCGAAGTTTATTCATGATCTTGGTGTAAAATTTATTGCTTACTAACTGATTAAGTGGCAGAATCCAACGTGATAAAACAATCATTCACTTGAAGTAGCATGGCTAATTTCATACTTATTTATCTAAATGTTAATAGAGACACTTTCACAGAGCTATCGGTCATAATTACATTGTGTGTAGAACAATATATCAAATGTCCAATGTTACTTGATTATATTATGAGTATAGCCATGATCTTTCATATATTCATTTATCATTCTTATTGATTTATTAGTAATTATATACATATCTGGGTCAGATTCCTAAATATGGGGCGGCAAGTTACTGGTTAAGGAGTTCAGCTCTCAGCCAATAGTAGGTCACTTGTACAAACCTTACTCCACTAACTCCGGTTCGAGCAACCAATCGGTATCATTATTTATCACATTTAAAAGGTGGTTCATACCCAAGCACCTGGTGAATGAGTAAACTTGAATTTAAAATTTAGATTATTAAGTAAAGGCATACAAATTAAGTGAACGAATAACTCAATTATAAAGTCATTGTTTATACATATCTTGCACGATCATAATCTTCAGTATAGATAACGAACGACGGTCTTCCACCAGTAGATTCAAGGTTCAAATCCTCCATCATCTGTCTCGTCCTAGAAAGCTGGACACCATAAGTCTCCATAATAGTGTGGTTCGAAGCTGAGCGTATATACATTAACTTGTTAGGTGAGTTGCAAACAGCACAGATACTGAAGAAGGACAATGAAAATATGGTTATCTTTCATAAAGTGCTACTGATAACAGTGTAGACAGATAATTTACACATAGACCTGTTTTGTTTTCCCTTTAAGTGGAAAACATTAATTTGTACAAAATTTAGTTTTTTTCTTTTTTCCTTTCTAAAAGGTTAAAAAAGCCAGAGCGTCCAAAAGACATGTGAGTATTGAATGAATGTCTTTTCTAAAATTAATTCTCATTTAATATTTCAATAATAACGAGATAGCAATCTTTACAATTAGTATATATTTCCCTAGTAAGGGACTTTGAATTCAGTTAACTACTTGTTTCTAATAAACTTATTATTTTTTAATCAGTTCTGTATACAGGTTAATCGTATTATTAGGTGTGAATTCATTTACGTAACCCACTTTAAACGGCATTTTTCTCAGAAAAATACTTTTGATACAGTTTAGATAGTCTAACTGAAATAGGACGAAAATGATATGTACTGGACAGTAACAGTGATCAACGCAAAACGATTGAAAACTAGATTTTGTATTTACTGGAATTGGTCAGTAGAACACATTTCTAATTTTGAATGGAAATGATATATTATGAGACATTTTAGAAAAGCATGCTTCTGTCAACAAGGTAATCGAACGTACTACCAGTGAGTAAATATAAAAAATGTACTAATTCAAAAAAGAAACCTGTAGATACTGGCATCACATAATTGGAGACAATAGAATAAGCACTTTCACTTTGATCATTACTCTTTGGAATCAATGATGAAAGGGTCTCAAGAATTAAGATTATATCCAAAAGAATTAATTATGTCACAATGAAGTCGTATTACAAAGATAAGAAAAGGAAAATTACACAGAAAGCTAGAAAAACCAATAATAACCATCTGAATAGATTTTCAAATCTAACCAGTCAATACATTAATTACGTCAAATGAATACCTTAATTATTAGTGATCAATCAACACATATTTCAGCTAAATAGAAAGATTTTTAAAATCGGTTACTATCCATTGGTATTGTATAACTTTTGAATGTCATTGAAAATGTCGAAATTAATTTCCAACTTTCTAAGCTCTTTTATATACAGATTTTATGAAATGATCAATTTTTACATTCCAGTTAAACAAAATACAGAAATATATAATCAGATCTTTTATCACAATTGAATGTAGGATTAGAAATTTCTGTATGAATTATCATTTACTATAATTTTTTTCATTAAAAAAAGGATAACTTATTACTAGTACCAGTTATATAATACACAAGATATGGATTATCTTTAAGGGATTTGTTTGAACTCGGAATTTTATTGCCGTTTTATTATAATAAACACCTTTATAAATTTTATGTCATTAAAATAAATTATTCATTTTACCTGTGTACAAATGACTTACACTTTGTATAAGATAATTTAATAAATATTTGACAGTTTATAAGAAGGAAAATCTAATATCGAATTATTATAAGCAAAGATGGATAGTGGTTAGCAATGGAATCCAGGACGCGCGTTTCGTCCCATTTGGGACTCGTCAGCTCCAGGACTCCAGCCCAGTACCGTTCGCTTCAAATGCCATCACGTTATCCACTTAGCTGCTGAGTCCTGATAGCCACCTGCTTGTGCAACGGGGTGAAGTTTAAATTCACTTGATGTTGTTTTACTTGTATCTTCCCATTGCTATTTAGGACTGCAATTGATCAGGTGGCTATCAGGACTCAGTAGCCAAGTGGATAGCTTGATGGCATTGGAAGCTAAAATTTTTGGGTTTGAGTGCCAGTATACATCAACTCTGGGATACAGGTACATAGAGCTGATGAGTCCCAAATGGGACGAAATGTGCGTCCTGGATTCTATTGCCAGCCACTATCCATCTTTGCTTAAAAAGATTGTGACTTAAGGCTCTATCGAGGCATCCGCATGGGATACACATATGCTAACATGAGATTGATCAATTGCAGTCCCAAATAACAATGGGAAGATAGAAGTAAAACAATACCAAGTGAATTCGAATTGTTATTCTTACCAAAATTTAACTTGATGATTTTAAGTAAGTTAAGTATTAGGTAAATTTATGATGTCCTAGTGTGTAGAAATTAGGATGTTTGATGTTCTATGACGTGAGTCAATTATTCAAAGAGTAACCGATAATTATTTTAAACTAGGAAAAAAGAGACTTAAAGTATGTCGTTACAAGTTAGAACTCTTAATTTCCTTTCATTAGAATATCACAAATAGATCATTGTTTTTATTATTAAAATATTTAGCACAGTGATATTTATAAACGAGAATAAACTAGGTTTATTTCGAAAAGAAAAATTAACAACATAAAGATCATCTTTTCATGGTTATTGAAAAGATAATGTGGAAAGAATACATGTCATAGTTACCAGCATCAAATTCTATTGGAGGAAGAAAACTTGACTTTACTTGAAATCGTGGTTCAATTTTTCAGCTCCATTATTTTCCAAATCAAAAAACAGGATTTTTTTTCTTCTCGCTACATTTAAGAATCTACACACTATACAATATAAATTCTATATGATAAAAATATGATAAAGAGATAAGTGATTTTAATTGTTTCCTTTTTTTCTTTTTCAATGATTCAAGTCAAAAGTTGCTGAAGAACAAGAGTCCAGTAAAAACAATCAAGCAAGACGAATGAATTATCATAAACAAGGTCTTGGAGGTTTAAGTAAAGAGCGTAGAAAAAAATTGAAGGTTAGTTAACAAAAGGAAGTTTTGTTAAATTAGTTTAAAGAAAATTACTATTATGGATGTATAAAAATCGTTTCAACGCTTATTTTTACCTGGAAAATGAAGCAATATAAAATAGTAATAAATTTTGAACTACTTACACAAATTAAAAGTAGCTGATATTCATATACAAAATAAATGAGACTATATATACTAGGATCATTTCAGCATTAAATTACAATAGACTTCAAACAACGACAAAGTTTGTGATAAGTCTTATCGATTGAACGCTATATTAGTTTCCTAAGCTATCCTGGTAACCCACAAGCTAGAACTACACAGCGATTTGAACACCACAGAGAAGACCCAAGTATGAGGGAAAATACTTCACATCGAGTTTCATTCTATTACAGAAAATATAGGGTTTTTATAATATTTTAAGTGTCCTTGGGTCACTGGAATATTCTGAAAGGCTACTAAACATGGTAGCACTGTAGTAGCCAACCAATCAGAGCTCCCGCATGTGACGTTTTGCTACCTTGATATTTCTGGCCAAGACTCCAAGTGAACGCTGATTGGACGAAACACTTCTTAGTGTTCCTTGATGCTTGCTTGTCTTTTGCAAGCAATTTCTGGGTCACCCCAACAGTTTGTAATAGATTTGAATGTAGCTATGTGTCTTTGAGAAAGTGAAAATAGCATTTTTGAGATAGTCAAAAGAATAAGTTCAAATCAAAATGTCATCACGAGAATTCGTATCAGTAATTAACTTCAATGTAATGAACGAAGACAGGTAGAATAAACCAATTTGGTTTATTAAGCAAGAGTACACACTATATTTGTAAAATATGAAAACAATACATTCAATACACCATTTGCACATCTTCAATGAATTGCCGCTTACAAGCTCCATAGTTCATAAGTTCCTGTTGCTACTTAGACTGCTTTTGCTTTTATTTCTCTTTTCATGTTCCTCTTCTGTTACAAAGAATCCTATTTCCAAATCTTGATGTTATTATTTTTACCATATGAGTTTATGAAATCACTTTAAAAGAATAAAATTATTTATTTATTTAACTTAACAACAATATTTCAGATTCATCCGAATAATTTCATAATATAATCATTACATTTTGGAGATTTAAGCAACTACCCAATTCAGATTTGCAATAGAGAAATTTGTTTTCTATGGTTTTCTGTTTATTAGATAAAAGAGATAATCTGGAAATTGTAATGAAATATAAATTGAGGAAATGTATAGATAGTATAAAATAGTTGAAACACATTACTTATCAAAAATACATCCGCTTTATTAATGATCATCCCAATTGACTATACTTTTGCCACTGAATAAATATAGAGAGAATTCAGTGAAATGTATTGCTTAAGTAAATAATTTCATTGAAAAGAAAATTTTCGTCGTTCAAATCTCTTAGTTTTAGATACTTTTTTGTTTATTTTTAAGGAAATGATCTTGCAAAAAGCAAAAAATGAACTTCTTGAAGAAAGAAGAAAAGAACTTCGTAACCGTGAAGATCACATCAAGAAACAAGCTCCTCCATTCGACATTGATGGTTTAAATCAGAGTGAGAAAGTTTTTCAAGTAACATTACGGTTATTTAATGTAGTCAGAAATATGATTACTTTAATTTGAACAAAATGAAAGTTATAATTAGACTTCAGAAATTAAGTTTGATTAAGAGGAAGATGTTGGTTGAATTTGAAAAGGGGCTTGTGAGTTACCAATCAGTCTTGTCTAATGTATGAACCACAAGCCTTGATTGTTGATAAAGTTTAAATTTCGATTCAGTCAAATCGTTTTAAATTTTTTAGTTAAAAAATTATAAGATAAAGCAATAATTGTAGTGTTAAAAGAGGGCTTAAACAAAATAACAGATACAAAATGTAATTTCTTATTTTGTAAGGTAGTTAATGAATGACTGAAAAAGCTGTTAAACTCCTTTCAGTATACCATCACGATCGAATCACACCAAATCTCTAAGTAACGAATGGAAAAATCGGAGCTCTAATGATACAGAAAGCAGAGCACATAAATTACTAGTCCATCTAATAATTATCTGAAGTGTGACATGGAGAGTACTAATTTAAATTTCTACTTAAAACTATACAAGGAAGTTGATTTATCCAGAATAGGAAACGCTGAAAGAGAACATATCATGTACTAATGCTATCAACTTCTGTCGGAGAACCCATAGTTACTGAACGTGTATTTGCAATATTTATCAAATCACAAATCCAAGCGAGTGGTAGCAATAATATCAGGTGTAGAACAGTGTGGAAGTGGCTAAAAGACTGATGAGGTTGTGGATTACATCGACTGACATGAGTTAAATATCCTCATTCACTCACCACCCTAGTTCTAAAAGTTAAATTTTTATTAAAAAAGTTGGAGAAAAACTATACGTGAGCAGCGTAAGATACGGAATCGATTAGTTATGTTCCTGATTGGTATCAACCATGAGGAAAAATTTAAGTTTCCCAATCCAAATAATCGAAGTAAATGTGATCTGAGGATTAAAATTCCTACATAACTCAAGAATTACTTTCAGTATCATAGATGAAATCATCCTTAATGACTCCTTTTATCATTGTCTGCTTTCCACTTTTTCTCCTTATTTCCTGATCACTTTTACTGTTGCTGTTTGCACACTTATACGTTCCTCTAATTTCACTTCTTGTAGTGGTGATATAAAAGGCAATGGCCCGTATAGATATATATTTGTGCTATCAGTATGGGATTACGTAGGCCTTTACATATTATTGAGATGCAGAATTAAACTAAGTTTTATTACCATTGGTAATCTGGAGGCACTGAATAGCTGTTTCGTTCCAGTATATGACTACCAAGAGGCGCAAACACATGACCCCATCTATAGAGACTAAACACAGGACCTCTAGACCATTGAGCCGAGGTCCAGTGGTGTAAAAGCTTAGTTGTCAACTAATTCGCGATATTGTGCAACTAGCTTCCATTGTCTTGAGTGAGTATCTTTCTCACACTCCATATAGTTGAATTTCTATTAGGGTTTCTGTTCAAAGTGTTCGCTAACGTTGATTAGACAAACAAGAAAATGGATTGCTTCTTAAGTCAAAAGATTTTACATATGTAGGCTCCATCTTGCATAAACTATTCTCCAAAGAGTTATATTTGAAGCTTAAAAGACTTTTAAGTTGTAAATTCTTTATGAACCACGTCCGACTAAGAAGCTTTCAAGTTATCCAGTGATTATCTAGACGATATTAACTTTCAATAAAAGCTTACCAAAGTTAACACGATCTTATTTTATCAGAAATTCAGTGAACTAAAACATATAATAATCCACTTAAATGTCTCTTCTACTGAATTCACCAACGTACAACTGAATATGTGAATATATTTTTTCACATTAAGTGCAACTTGAACAAAAGGTGAAGTCGTGGTACGAACACGTTAAACAATTGGAATCACAAAAATACGAATGGGAACAAAGATTACGCAAACAGGATGAAGAAGTAAGTCAATGGATGGGATTTTAAGTCTTTTTCAAAAGTATATTATATATGTATGTATATCAAAGTGAGCGGTTTAACTTTTCCAAGGGAGATCAAGATCATACAAACTAGAGCATTTTGTGGATACCTTCCATTGTGATTTGACATCATCCGGTATATTATCGAACCCTTCGATGAATTTACTGACGAATAGAAACTGTGCGAAAACTGTGTCCACAACTTACCAATGAGTGGTCCCAAGTATCTAACGTAGATTTTAAGAAAAATATACTGAGAAGCGGAAAAATACTCGTTGATGACTTTGCAGACTAATAGTCTTTGAACAATCATGAGAGGGATTCATATCCATACCTATAAAGCAAATGGCACGTTTAAAAAATGGATTGATCGTATACTTAAATCCATATTCATTAAATATTCTACACGATATCTGATGAATTTATAATCATGTAAACCAAAAAGAAATTTTACGTCTTGAAAAATATTTCTATGAAGACAGTTATGCTCCAATCGGTACAGACTAACTTGATGGGAATGATAATAACGAGATGCTGAAGTTAGTCATATTAAAATGACAGAGTAGAAAAAAAGCAACATATTCTACAGATTTTATCGATTGATTCTAAAACAGTTAATCACATTTTCATAAGAACGTTTCAGTACGAGAAAGTAGGCTCTTTAAAAGCTTCCAGTTCAAATGGAATGGGATTTTCAAAAATTGTTGTTTATATCTAAATTACAATGAATAAGAGTGTTTATCGACCGAGTGGAAAGCTCATTTAAATCGGATAATTTGAATGGAAAAGCAGAATGAATTGCATTATGCTCAGTCGTAGTTGAATTGATAATACTTACATCACAAGAGTGTAGTACTATAAATTATTATGATTTTTATACCTATTTTTGAGAAAATCACTTTCTGAATGAACCTAAAAATTCAGCATTACTTAAAAACGTTATAATGATTCCTCATATAAATTAGTGTATAAAATCAAGAAATCAAGTTACTCAAATGGCTTTTCTTTTCCTTATTTATGCAGATTAACGAACTGACAGCTCAGTTATGCTCAATTAAAGGACACTTGTAAGTAAATATTTGGTTAATAATAATTTCCAAATATACAGAGTATCAGGTAAATTTCCAGGAAAGTTGCTGAACTACAATTTGAGTAAATAAGAATTTATTCCTACCTAGTACATATTGAAAACACGATTGATTACATTAAAGTGCATATATTTGGAACCAAACTATAAATATCCTGTGATTGAATCAAAATTATCGTCAGAACATCAAATAAAGTTATTGGATGAACAGGTTAAGACTCCAAAAATATGCCTCTTAATTTGTCCATACCTGCCAGGAAATGAAAATTAGAACAACTTATTTATGCCTGTTACTTCTCGTGGAGGAGCACAGACCACCCACCAGCATTCTCCACCCAACTGTCCTCGGCAATTCTTTTCAGTTGCTATTTATTCTTTTGATGTCTGCTTCCAATTCCAACGCAGTGTATTCCTTGATCTTCCTCTTTTTCGTTTCCCTTCGGGATTCCAATTTAGCGTTTGCATCATGATGCAGTCGGATGATTTCCGCAGTGCACGTCCTATCCACTTCCATCGTCTTTTCTTAGTTACCTCCTTAGCTGAAAGATAGTTTTTTATCTCCCATAGTGGGCTGTTGCTGATGGTATCCAGCCAATGGACATTCAGTATCTTACGTAGACAATTGTTTATAAATACTTTTACCTTTTCGATTATAGTATTGAAGATTCCCACTTAGATATCAGTCGATAGTTGGTTTGAGTTCTATTTCTTCTTCAACTGTAGAAACGCTGTCTTTGCTATGCCAATTCTCTCCTTTACGTCTGCATCGGATCCTCCACGTTCATCGATGCCACTCAGATACGTGGAACTTTCCACCTCTTCCATAGTTTCTACATCAAGTGTGATTGGGTTGGTGTTCTTCCTGTTGTATTTGAGGATCTCATTTATTCCCTTGTTTATGTTGAGGCCTACTGCAGCTACACTGTCTATCTCCATTTGCATTTGTTGCTATGTATAGGACAAAAGAGCTACGTTATCTGCGAAGTCCGAATCGTCTAGCTGCATCCAAGCTGTCCGGTGATTTTCCTGAAATGCCGAGGTCTTCATGATCCAATTGATCACCAGAAAAAAGACAAACAGCGAGGGTGAACAAACTTATCTGACTCCAGTCCTCACTTCAAATGCATCTGCCTCAATGCACAACTTTGCACTGTAGTCCGTTGTATGAACTCCGAGAGATGTTGACGATCATCTCAGATACACCGTGGTTTGGAAGCTTCAGTAAGGTTCTCCAATCCACGCTGTCGAACTCCATCTCACAGGCAAGGAGTTTGGTGTATAATGACCAGTTCCATCCAATTGATTGTCTAACAATGATCCGTAGTGTCATGATTTTGTCAGTACACGACCGATCCTTACGGAATCCGGACTGTTGATCTCGAAGCTACTGAATCTTTCATCGGGTTCGGTAACACTCTGTTGAAAAATTTTCCTAGCACTGATAGTAGTGTGTTGCCTCTGTAGTTTTCACATTCGCTCATATCTCTTTTCTTTGGTATCTTAGTGATATATCCTTCTTTCCATCCTATCGGCACTTGTTCTTCTCCACAAATCTTCCTAAATAAAATTTGGAGCATGTTTGCAGTTTCTTCTATATCTGACTTCAGTGCTCCGACTATGTTATTAGGTCCTGCTGCTTTCCCAATCTTGACTCGTCTGATGGCCATGCTAATTTTTTTATCGTTGGTGAAGCGACATTCATAGGGAGGTTTGTGCGTGCTGCATCGATGTCCGGTATGTTCAGTTAGGTTGGTTTATTCAAGTGTTCTTCATAGTGCTCTACACACCTTTTCCGCTGTTCATGAATCCCAGTGATTGAATCGCCTTGTTTTCTCTTAACTAGTTGTTCTGGTTTACCATATTTCCTTTCTAGTTTATTCGTAGTATCATGTAGCTGCTCCACATTTCCTTCTCTTGCAGTTTTTTTTCCGCCGTCATTGTTAGATCTTCTAAGCATTTCTGCATGTCGGCTTGTACCTCTGTGTATTCGGTCTTTCCTTGGCTTTCTCTGCTCTTGTTCGACTGTTGTTAATTTCTGTCTTATTGTTCTTCCTTTCTTGAATTTTATCTAGGGTCTCGATAAAGATTTGTTCCTCTTGATGATGCTTCTTAAGGCCCAGAGCTTCCTGACACGTTGAAGTTAGTACTTCTTCGATCTCTTTCCGGTTGTTTTCTATAGTAATTTCCTCTACTTTGAGTAGATCTTGTAAGGCTTAGAACCTGCTATTCAAAGCTATCTTGAATTCGTTGATTTTGTCAGTATTTTGAACGAAGGCTGCATCAAACTGTTTTTATCATGTTTCTCCAGTTGTCCAGTGCTTTTTTAGCTTTACTTTCGTCTTGGCAACCACCAGGAGGCTATCTGAATCTATGTCAGCTCTTCTCCTAGTTCTCAGGTCTTCCACTGACCTGAATTTTTTACTAATGCAAATATGAACGATCTGGTTCTCTGTAGTGTGTTTCGGTGAAAACCATGTAGCTATGTGGTTGCGTTTGGTGGAGAATATAGTGCTACCTATAACCATTTTGTTGAATGCATATAAATTTGCAAATATGTCATCATTCTCGTTTCTTTCTCCCAGTCAGTTCACATCGTCCCATGATATCTTCACATTCGGACCTTGGCATCTAAGTTTCCCATCAGGATGGTCACATCCTTTCGTGGGCACTTCACTAAGGTCGATTGCAGCCTCTCGTAAAACTGGTCTTTATCTTCATCGCCATCGCTGGTGGGTGAACGGCAATGGACAAGTTTATTGTGATTCCCTCCTTTTTTTGAAGGATGCTTTGATGATCCTGGATGCATGAGGTTCCCATCCTATAAGTGCTTTTTTGGAGAAGCACCAGTGCAACTCCTTCTGTGTATGAAGCATTTGTCATGAGCAGAGTGCAACGCCAACTCCTCCGATGCTAATTTTTTTCTGTCCAGCTTGGATTTAATGTGTTTCACGTGTTCTGATAACCACCATGTTGTATCTCCTCATTTCCATAGCTTTTCGACTGGTCCTCCCGGTCTACCACATTATCCGGATATTTCATGTACCTATGTTAATTGTTGCTCTGGTTGTTAGAAAGAGCATAGGCCTTGTGGCTTCCAAAGAACCTCAGTATCCACCATAAGGCATCATGATTCTTCTAAATGAAGATCCTTTAACTCTCACAGCAGAATTTAAATCATTTATTCTGGATAGCGTTTTTTTCTATGGGATGGGTTTGTTAACCCTATGCCCGACCCTTCTCCTTTACCCAGGTTTGGGACCAGCAGTGACTTTAGGATCTTTGTTGACATTAAGTGTATTCCGAACCGGATAATATTAATTGTGCTTCATTAACAACACTAGTACTCGGAGATAGTCACTACTGAAAACTGAAATTAGTTGGAGGACCACTGAGAACCACAAGCTACTGAAGAACTCCGTAATTTTTATCGCATCATGTACTTACGAAGAAAAAATAACAGCAAGCTATTTTGGGGGATTTTATAGAGAAAAGAATGACTCAAGAACTAATAAACCGGTAACCAACGGTCTACATTGCTAATTTCAATCAATTTGTGATATACTAATATCCTTATTGAACCCTATTATTCTCCAACTTCGTTGATGACTCTACAGACTAGGTGTTTTTACTAAAACTTCAAACGTTCCATGATGCTAGTTGGTAGTAAGTACAAGATTAAAAATAATTCAGTTAGATTTGTAAAGATTTTGTATAGTTTGAAGACAATAATTATCAGGAACTGATATCAGTTGGATAATTCATTAGTCTTTTTAAAAGTATATCAGTAAAGGCTTAAAACGTAAACCATAGGTACAGCGCACTAAACGTTGGTCTTTCAACATAAATAAATTTTCAATGCTTACTTAATAAATCAGGTTATCTTGCTACACAGTAACACGTAATTTTATTTATTTGTTCTCATCAATTACCGTTTTCAGTACAAATTAGTAGCTAGCTATTATTTTCCTCTCTTATTTCTATTTCTTCTCACTAATTTACTAAATAATAAATTTCTATTTAATGCATCAAGTCAAAAACCAATTCTTCGTAAAGTTGCTAAACCAATGTCAACGGAGAGATTACGCGCGATGAGTGCCGCACCAAATTTCATGCCCAAAACGGGGCATAAAAATCCCGTAGAAATGAAGAGAAAACTGTCGGATGATAGTAATCAGGGTGTAGTAAGTTATATTTTTCACACATGCATGTCACTTAACACTTACAGCAATATTAATATTTCTTAGTAATAAGGCTGAACACTATAGTTATTTAGAATGTTTAACTGTATAACCTTGCATTGTTAAGTTATTGATATGTTTCATACTAACAGCGATAAATCCTATGCTTCGACATTAGGATACTACAGCTCTCCTCTTTTATTACTAGCCCTGGATATTCTAAAATATTTATTGTCAATGGTTAGAGATTATTAGCCATTCGAATTCATTCATTTATGCACATCATATGAAAAGAGATTGTTACATAGAACTGATACAGTTGGATTTTATACTGAACAAAGTACACTGAATTAATTAATACAATGGAAATTTGACTGCAAATCAAATGAACGAAGAACACACTACACCAATATATGATCTTACGTCGTATTTCTTCCTAATAAATCGTGTTTGGAGGTATAACGTTTCAAATGCCTGTAAGTGATCATCCGAATGATACTGAATTGTAAAAGACAAGTGCGTTGGACTTCCTCATATAGTAGTTGAAAATATGCTTTTGAAAACTGCGCTAAGCTTGAAAGGACGAATTAATAATTAAAATATATTGGAAAGTAATACGGAAATCCATTCAACTACTAGTAGTGGAAAAGTTTAGGTATAGACGACACAATTCTAGATGAAAGAATGAATAAATGGAATAGAAAATGTATAAGACAATTTTAAAAAAACTAAGAGTGAATGTATCTAAGTTGTGTCACTCAAGATTTCCAAAATATAGACTATTACATAATCGAAACTAGTTTAACTCCTTAATTTATTAGATTCTTTCTTTTTATGACAATAGAAATCAAATTTGAATGGGACCGGTGGTGTATTCGCGAAAAGTTGATGAGAAATTAATGCAAGAAGAACTATTTCAAAATAGTGATGAATAAGAACCGATATATATATATATTTCTTATGTTATTCGTTTACCTTATTGTAAGTCAGATAAAAGTAAAAACCATAAAGACAACAATAATATTGCACTCATTTCTCTATCTTCCTTTTATTATACATTTTTCTCCAGAGCAGAAAAATCATCTACAAATTAATCACATGAGCATGTATTGTAACTTTTAAATTGTAGAAATTATAGAGAATCCATCATATAAGGCTATCTTTATACCAGAGGAAATGATTGTAATTTTAACTTTTCTTGTCTATTTTATAATTTCCATTCAAATGTTGTGATTGAATAACTACATAAACACTTATTTTTTGTCATTTTAGAGACTATCAACATCATTTACTTTATTCTTTACTCACATACTTTGTGAAATACTCCAATTATTTTACCAATAACCATTTGATTAACTTTATTCATGCTTTCGATTAATTAAATGAATCTCTAAGTATTTGTTGGTGCGATTTTAAATGATCAGTTATTTCTCAGGTGGGCTATATAATTTTAAAGTGTATATCCTTTCGTTCCTGTACCACACCTATAAACTCATAAATTCAGATTACAAGATTGTTATTAGTCCAATAGTTTTCTCCACACTAAATGTACACTCAGTTGTTTTCCGTTTAAAAGTAAATTTAACCTTCCGACTAACAAAAGTGGTATCATTTAAAAACCAGATTATGGGGAAACAAAGATCAAATTTTAATAAATACTGCTGAAGTGTTACTAATTTGGTTATTGCACAACAGTACGAATGAATATTTCAGACAGTAGTGTATCTCACTTTTTAAAAAAGGTCTGATTTTTTATTTATTTATTTGGACACATGAATATTGGTACAAGAGAGCGCCAATATATATGCGCCACACAAAACAATGAAAATTCGAGAGGAATACAAAGAAAGAAAAAAAAGCTAAGGAGCGCAACAAAAAAAAGAGAGAACAATAACGAAGAGATTGGTGTAAGATAATGTGCTAGTAATCAGGGAACGCAAAGGTACAATCGGAAGGAATCTTTCAGGTAAGGGAGACAGAACCACTTTTTATAAAGAAAGTAAAAGAAGGTTACAGCAGGATCGCCACTGGCTTCTATTCTGAGCCATATCTGATAACGTCTCTAGCCACTGTGTAGCACCATCTCTCGGACCCCAGCCAGGGAGTCGTGAAGGACCAACACAAGCCAGTTCTTTGCAGCTTTCTTTCATGCCACGACACCATGTCATGCACTGACCACCTCTCCGCTTCTTCCAACCAGTCCCAGAGTCGGCAAATAATGCACGACGTGGAATTCTCTGGGACGACATTCGTAGAACATGTCCAAGCCACCGAAGTCGGTGTTTCAAGATGATGACACCAATTGAATTATCATTTCTGTGCCCGAACACACGATGCCGAACCTCCGCATTACTGACATGGTGTTGCCACTGAATGTCAGCAATCCTTCGGAGACAGATGATCGAACACAGAGAGTCATCTAACATCCTCAACTCGGAGAGACCAGGTTTCACAAGCATAGAGCAAAACTGCTCTCACCGACGCGTTGTAGATCCGACCTTTTACGGCCAGACTAACATCACGAAGGCGCCAAAGATGGCCCAGATTGGCATAAGCCGCTCTGGCTTTCACTATTCGTGCATTGATCTCATCATTCACGCCAACGCCAGCACTTATGCAGCTACCCAGATACACGAACTTCTCGACTATGTCTATCTGCTCACCATCCAGGCTGAGTACAGGATTATAATCCTGCCATTCTTGTAGAAGTAGTTTGCACTTCGAAGGTGCAAAGCACATACCATACCTACGGACACTGATTGCCAACTGATTAAGTGCGGATTGCATGCCTTGGGCATTATCGCACAGTAAGACAATATCGTCCGCATACTCAAGGTCGAGAAGTCTTTCTCCAGGCAACAGATCCACACCACCATTACTTACATTCATCAGAGCTGTTTCCAGAATGTCATCGATGGCAAGGTTGAAGAGGAATGGTGAGATTGGGCAACCTTGCCTAACCCACTGCTCGAATGGAACAATGGAGAGAGGTGGTTGTATGCCCTCACTCTGCCTGAGGTGTTTGTATATAGAGCCTTTAGGATGTTAATAAACTTCTCAGGCACACACTTCTTCATTAGAAAATCCCAGAGAACAGTTCTGTCCAACGGATCGAAGGCAGCCCTGATGTTAAGAAACACTACGATTGTCGGCCTTTGATAAGTTTGGCGGTGTTCTAACATTTGGCGGAGGTTGAAGATATGATCAATACATCCTCTACCAGAACGAAACCCAGCCTGCTCCTCGCGAGTCAATCTTTCTCGGGTTTTGAACAACCTACGAAGTATGACGGAAGCCAATAGCTTGAACGCAATCGGAAGTAAACTTATCCCCCGATAGTTGTTACAGGAACGACGTGAACCTTTTTTAAAGATAGGGACAACTATCGACTCATTCCATGACGTTGGCACACTCTCTAGTTCCCAAACCTTTGTAAACAACGTCGTCAATTCCTTAGTCGAAAAGTCACCACCATCTTTAAAAAGAGCCGGAGGTAAGTTATCTGGGTCAGGTGATTTGTAACGCTTCAAGAGTTGGAGTTCCTTGCGGACTTCCTCCTCGTTTGGTGGATCAGTCGTCACCGGCCATGGAGGGCAGGACAGTCTGACCGATGTTGCCGGAGCAGCAGGCCAGTTGAACTGCCCTTCGAAAAATTCTGCCCATCGTCCAAGACGTCGATTGGCATCCCATCATCCTCGCAGATTGTTTCACTCACACCAGACTTCTTGCTGCCAGTGGCTCGGATGAGCTGGAAGAGCTTCCGTTAGTTACCAGATGCAGCTGCTGCTTCCAGCTCATTAGCACGCTTAGACCACCAGGCTTCTCGGTCCTTACGCAAGCTTTGCCCAATTTCCTTACATAACATCCTTCGTTTATGGTCAAACTCACGGTCACCCGGAGTAGACCGACGGGGTTCAATGAGTTGTAAGGAACCAGAAGAAACCCAGTGCTTAAAAGCGGGACGTTTCGCAAACCCACAACTGACTGTTCCCGCCATTTTCATGGCGTCATGCAATTGCAACCAATGTTCATCTATACTTTTCGGTGGAGTGGTAGCTAGCCTAGAGGCTAGCTCGGTCCGATACTTATTTGCAACAGAAGTTGCAACCAGCTTGCTAATATCAATCCTTTGTTGGTGGTCACTTCGTTGGTCACTGAAAAGTAAGGCAAGATTGGCGCAGACCAAGGCATGGTCAGAGTCCAGACAGGTACTCCAAAAGGAGCGGCAGTCTTTTACACAACCACGCCAGCGGTATCTGATCGCGATGTGATCAATCTGAGTCCAGGCTTGGGATGCAGAGGGAGGACGCCAGGTGGCACATCGGCGATGACTGTGCCGAAAGTTAGTGCTAGCCAGAAACAGGTTGTGGTCGGTGCACAGTTGCAGTAGACGGTCCCCGTTATCTGACCTGCGACCAACGAGTCTGAATTATTTTTACAATGTAGTCGGAGTGTTAAATGGATCTCTATGAGAGAGACGAATGCATAGATACATTATCAGTACGAATAATTACTGAATTGCTAAAAAACGAAAACATAGAAAACTATGGTGAACACAAATAGTTGTCTGTTGGTCATCAATGTAATGTTCTGATTTTAATACTCATACAACTCGCACCGCTCGTAAAAGCGGTCAGTAACTTTACTCAGCATTTATTCGTCTTAGTCTTATTGTCAGTCGTAAGTTGATAAAACAGAATGAACCATGGCGCAAACTCGAGTTCCCAACTTGAGTAAATAAACCACTCAAACTACTGGACCTAGCGCAACTGTGTCCATCCAATTTGCGAAGACCTACATCAGCACTACAAGAGGAAACAAACACGAAGAAAATTACAGTAATGGAAACAGCAACACTAAAAGCAATTAGAAGTGCAAACAGAGTAGAAAGCACAGAGTACTGAAATTTCTACGATGAAGGATAATTTCATTCATAATGAAACGAGTAATTCTTGAGTTATACACCTCAATTTCCAACCACAGGTCACAGTCACTTTTTCCCAGCTTATTTCTGCAGTAAATCGATGTGAGTAGTCGCCAAAAATGAGTAACATACAAATAGTGAATTTATTAGCTTATCTGCACTAGAATTTAAACAGCCTAAAAACATAAACAATGTACAGATCTATTAAATAAAATAGGTAAATTTCCCTTGTTGTGAATTATGTTGTATATGGATAGTAAGTGGAAATTTTCAACAGCCTTGACTTGATTTTGGAACTTTGTGTAGCTACTGGTCCTACATATAAGCACAAAATTTTGAACTCATCACTTTAGAGCTTTATCGGTTATATATTCCTGGTTCAACAAACACGGTAAGTTGAGGTAAACAACTAGTGACTTAAAACATGTGTAGATATAAATTCAGTCAGTCAGCTACAACATAGGACCAGACACATATATGCACCAGTCCAAGTTGCCATACCTCATTAACACAACAAGATGGACACCGGATTCATAAAAGTAGTTAATTCAGAGGTGGCAATATATAAAAGAACGATTGCAATAAGGATATAGTACTCGAAGAAAGAATTAGTTCGTAGAAAGAAAGATATGAAGCGATTTTAATCTCTTAGTTTAAGGGAAGACAGAGAGTGTATACACCGATGCCATTGTGATCGATTCTGAGCCATGTAACCAAGAGTCTCCAACCATTGGTTACGATAGTCACGCGGACCCCAACCAAGTAGTCTGCATCTACCAACATGGCTCAGACTACAAGTTAGTGACTTCAAGCACTGATGCCACGTTTTGGTTTGGCCGCTTCTAACTTTCTTCCAACAATCCCGAACACTGGTTAGCATTGCACGTCGTGGTAATCGGTGTTCAGGCATACGTAACACGTGGCCAACCATCTAGGTTGGTGAAGATTTACAACCTCATCAACTG